TAGGGGCTCCTGGCCTTACTACTACGAGCAAGGACGCTACTAGGGGTTCCTGGCCTCACTACTAGGAGCAAGGACGCTACTATAGGGACTCCTGGCCTTACTACTAGGTTGGATGGCTCTACAGCTTTATCTAGCTTCAAAGACAGCGATCTGCTTTGTGAGGTGTCCAGGAATACTGTGTTATATGACTGTTAGGAGCTCCGTCCGGACACCTTCCAAAATAGATCTTGTCTGTTTTGGACCCACAGACTGCCACGGTCGTCGCGTTGGTGGATCGGCTATATAGGTCTGGTTGTTGGGTGCCCCCCAATGGATCCAGTATCACATTGGATCTTCAATTGGATCTGATTGGCGTAAACCGTAAGAGCACCGTATCCCGTTTACGGCGACCGGGGCCCGTACGGCCAAACCCCCAAACCGCCAAAATCCGGAGCGATGAGGGGTCGATGAGGGGTGGGTCGATGAGCTCACCGATGAGCATGCTCATCGCTTGGTCACCGCCTTTAAAAACAATAAGGATTTTGGGGGGTCTAGAAACACCACACCACCCGCGCGTGCGATGAGGGGTCGATGAGGGGGGATCGATGAGCTCACCGATGAGCACGCTCATCACTGGGCCCTGCCTTTAAAATAAATAAGGAATTTTGGCGTGCCAATTTAGCCTACAAAAACCAGAGCGATGAGCCATCGATGAGGGGGTGGAAAGGTTCCAACTGTCGGCGTTTTCCTCAGAAATTTGTCCTTTTCAAGGTGTCTGCACCGGAAATCTTGGGCGCCCGTACCATGGCGGACAACGCTCTTCCTCCGGATCCTGCAGCGGAGCCCCAGGCACTTGGTCCACTAATTTTTCATGTATTAATTATATAACGTGTTTTTATCGTGGGGCTGGGGTCTCCTCTTTTTTCTGTGAATCCAGGAGGGGCAAAGTGGAGCCTCAATGAAACCGTCTTTGGAACGAGCAAAGTTTATGTATGCCACGGCCCATGGGATTGAAGTGAGCGCCGTCACGGAAGCGATCCTGAATGAAACGGAGGAAGGGATTGATGGTTGGGCGTGCAAGGGCTTAGATTGCAAAGCCCGTGGGCCCATGGGAAACGCTATGTATCGGCAGATCAAGAAATGTCCGGGGGCCAACGAGACTTACAAGTGGCTCTTCGATGATTTGAAAAAGAAGTTTCGCCAAAGCTGGGCAGTGTCAAGAAGCTTTGATTTCGTCGCCCGCAAAAGGATCCGGAGCATCTCCACCACCACCAAGAACACGGAGATTGGACAGTGGAGGAGTGAGCTCCAGCTACAGGTCTACTTCGGGGGCACTGATCAAGAAGAAGCGAAAAGACAAGCCAGCAACTACATCAAGAATTGCAGAAAGTTCCCGGAGCGGGTTGATGTTATAATATGTTATATGTTTTGGCTTGTTGTTAAGAAATGAGTGCGCATAATTTTTCCTTTGTCTTTTATCCTTCCCAAGCACAACTGCTGTTGCAGGATGCCTTCGTGAAGTTCAATACATGGACAGAGGCTGACAATTTTCTCTTGGTAGAGAAACTGGTCTCCAAGACGGAGGAGGAGGCTTGGCGTGAAGTGGCAGAGATGACAGATGGTAGCGGCACCTACGAGACCGAGTCTTTCAAATGCAAGGCAGTCCGCAAGTTCGCAGCTCATCATGGGCTTCAAGTGGAGGAGGTCAACATCGATGATGTTGTGAAGTCCCCACTCGGCCTCCGTGGATGGGGCGATTACAACATTGTCGTTCCAGGTGTTTCAGACCATACTTTGTCAGAGGCGGCCACAGAGCCCGCCGATGCAGGCAAGGATGCTGATACCACTGGCGATGGTTCTGTGCCCCGTCCAAAGGCCAAGGCTAAAGCCAAGGCGAAGGGGAAGGGGGGCAAGGTTCCAGGCTCAGAGAGACCCAAGAAGCCCAAGAAGGAGCTTTCTACAGAGCAAATGTCAGAGCAGCAGTCAAAGGAAATTCTTACCAAGCTTCAGCGATCCCAACAGATCATGGAAAAGATTTCTCACATGGGTGATGAACTACCTTCCCAATTCTCCTGGGCTCGTGGCTTTTTGGAAGAGTACAAAGACCTGCTCAACCGCTTCAAAGATGCTCTCACGCCTTCTGAGGGGGCGGAACAAGATCTCACTGAGTTCGTCGATGAGCTCAAGTTGAACGTCATCACCAAAGCAGGCTTGCGATCTTTGAAAAAAGAGTACGGCAAGAACTACGAGAGCATGCTCGCTCTGTTTGTGGATCGGTGCCAAGGCCACGCAGCCCAGAAGCCAGCTTGGGTTCAGATCAGTTTTGTTGTTGTTGTTGTTGTATTTGTAGGTCTCTAATCTTTTGTATTGGGCCTGAGTTTGAGCAAGCCAAGGATGAATGGCGTTGCGACAAAGGTGCACAACATGACCCAGGCCATGAGCACAGATCCGCAGCCTAAGAAGAGAGCCCGGAAGGCTTGATTTTGTAGGCTGGTTGTGAAAACACAATCAGGTGTGGGGCTAGTTCGCAAGCCAAGCATTTGCCTTGGCGGATTCTATGTAGATGTGGCAGGGGGAACTGCTTCTTCTGACGGGACCGTAGGTGTGCGACAAAATCAAGTGAGCTGCAGGGTGGCGCTGCAGAAATGCCCAACTCCAACCATCTCCAACCCACATGTTTCGATGTTTTTGCAAAAAAGCATTTTGGATCAGGACATGTTAAAGAGGGCTCGGCTACTAGCGCGCGCCAAAGGCAGCCATGAGACGCCGACGCTTCAAGAAACAAACCGACAAAGAGCTGGGGAGGACCTGCGCCGATACTTGCTAGAGAAATTTTGCATTGAGGGGATGCCTGGTTCTGAGGTAGCCACATTGGCTTATCACATAACCCGTGCTGGAGGGCAAGGTTTGGAAGACCTGGCTTTGAATGCAACTTCTGCTGTCAAAAACGGCCACCGGCATGTGAAAAAACACGCTGGAAAAATCTATCCTGAAGTTGGTTTGGGTTTTGTGAAGTGTCCTATGTACAAGAAGCGTGATTCCCAGCGCGTCGTGGAAGAGGTCCCGATCTATCTTCCCTCCACAGCTTTTCAAAAATACATTACCCAAGACATGGTTGACAACACTGCGGAATTTGACAAGATTGTTGGTGATTTGGATGCTTACTGGGACCACCCCCTGGTCAAGGCTGCCAAGGCGGAGGGTATCAAGCGCCATGTTCGCCCAATAGCTCTTTACTGGGATGGAGTCGTGTACACCAAGAAGGATTCCTTTTTTGCATTCTATGTCACAGACATCTTGAGTACCCAGAAGTTTTTATCCTTCCTACTTCGTCGTAGCCCCAATTGCTCGGGTGGGGTTGTGAACAAAACGCTGGCAAATAATACTTAGTGTATATATTAGATTGCCTGGCTAGCCCAGGCAGTGAAGAAATGTGCCAATGTGGGTGTCGTGGCTGGTGCAGCCTCTATCCCCTCTTGCTGCGCTGGACCACAGATTTGAAGGGCCTTGAGGTTGGCCCCACTAGATTTGCAGTCCTTGACATACAGGGGGATTGGCCAGCTTTCCTCCAGGTCTTCGGACTCAGGTATTGGAGCCACAAGGTTCACCCGTGCCCTCTCTGCAGAGTGACTCAAGAAGAAATCGGGGAACTTCGACTCAACGACATCACAGTTGATTCCATGCCCTACGAAAGCTATGGCACCAATGAGTACAACCGGGATCTTTCCGAGTTTGTACAAGTTGCTTAACTTTGTTCACGCCCTTTGTGGTGGGAATGGGGTCTAGCCACCTATTGGTTTTTGTTACGATGGGGTCAACACTTAGGTTGTGCAGGTGACTTCACTGACCATGAGGGCCAAGATTCACCAGAACCTGGTTTACAAATTCAAGATGCGGGGTCGGTGTTTGTCCCACGCTCTCCCACTATATGGCCTCAAGAAATCCAGCCGCTTGATGCCAACGCCCACGTTGCCTGACGTGGCTGGCTTTGAGTTCAAAGAGATTCCATTTGAGACTTCCTGGTGGGTTGGTCCAGAAGATGGGCGGCTTCTGCACGATTGCCCTTTGCTAAATTTGTCTGGCGTAGGCCTGGAGACTTTCTCTTTGGATATTATGCATAGCTGGCATTTGGGCCCCCTTCAACTTCTGGTCAGCAAGGCTTTGAACTACTGCCTTGACACAGGTTTATGGGGCCCACGGGCTGGTGGTGGGGGCGACGCCCAAGACCGACGGAAACTCTCCTTGCTAGCAATAAAATCTGAGCTGTTTGCATTCTACCGGGACCAGCGGCAAGACAAAGATTGGTTGGGAAAGGGGTCTGAAGAGCCTAAGTTGAACAAGTAAGTTTGGGATAGTTTTGGATTCCGTGTCCAATTTGTTGGTTGTGGCAAAACCTTTTGAGTTTTGGGTCGAATGATTTGGGGCACCAGGTCTGGAACCTAACTTTGACCATGCTGGGCTCTACGGATGCTCCCAGCCTCCATGCCAAAGCTGCCGAATCGCATGGACTGGCTCTTTTCGTTCGCCAACTCCTGGAGCGGCGCATGGGTGATTTTGAGCAATGCTTACCCCGAGCGGATGCGAGGCAAGGAAAGTTTCTCTTGGAAGCGTCTAAGGCCGCTTCGGAGCTAGATGTTGTGTTTGGTGTTGAATCCCGGCGTCTCACCCGCAACCAAGTTCACAGAGCTTTGGGGTGCTACTCACGCTTCTTGTCTTTCTACAACAAGGCTGGGGGACCCCTGGTACCAAAGACCCATTTTATGGTACATTTGATTCAAAGGTCCTTGTACAAAGGAAACCCTCGCAAATATTCCACGTACCGTGATGAATCTTTGAATGGCCAAATAGCCAAAATAGCACGGAGCTGCCATAGGCGCACGTGGGCAAACATCATCCACTGGAAGACCCAGGCTTTGCATGACAAATGCCATGCACGCTTGATTGCGTCCGAGAAGTTCCAAAAACTTTTGCACCAGGGTGGAAATGATTTTGGTGAATGGGTTCAAGAAAACTAGGCGTGGCATTCAGCACTCCTTAAATTCTCAGCGCGCTCGGTCCGAGCCTCCACGTTTCCAGTAGCGCCACTTCCATAGCGCGCCATGAGTGAGGTCCGGTTTGTGTCCAAGCGTGATGGCTTGTTCGATGCGTCCCAACATTTAGAACAAATTGAGACCATGGTTGAAGCGTTTGACCGTAACTGTCCAAATGGCCGGGAGTTGGAGTCGCTAGATCTTTTTGCTGGGAAAGGGAATTTTGCAAGTGAGTGTGAGATCCGTGGGCACAGCACTTTGGCAGTGGATGTCTTGTATGACAAAGTCCACATGGATCTCTTGAAGGAAACAGGATTCCATTTTGTGCTCCTCAAGATTCTGACCCTGGACACTTGTTACCAAGCTATGACAAATTGTTGGTTCTATTTTCTTTGAAGCAGGGTGGGATTCAGAGCATCTTGACAAAACAAAATCGCTAAAGTGAGGTGGAGTTTGCCTTCCTCCTATGTGGCCCTCCATGTGGCCTCTTCGTGTTTATATCTTCGTCCTATCACATGCGGACGTCCGATGACCCTTACGGAGACCAGTTCAAAGCAAAGGTGCGTGCGGCCAACCAACTCGTTGTGAACCTGATCATTCTGCTTTGTGTGGCCCACACCAGAAAGGTTCTGATCTTGAGACTCAGCTGCGCCAGTCAGAAAACAGTTTTAGGGGCCAAGGTTTTGGGGTGTGTGTGTGTGTGCGTGTGTTTTTGTATCTAAGAACCATATGTCAGGATGGAACAGCCCTCCAGCTCACTCTTGTGGTTCTTCCCAGAAATGTCCCGGTTTCTGGAGAGCGTTGGCGCTACTCGCATCCATACTTGGATGAGGAAGTTTGGTCACCCATTGCCAAAACCCAGCGTACTCTACAGCAATATTCTCCCAGATTGGCTGGGTCCTTTGTTTGGCAAGTGGTCGCCAAAGATGGAAAAAATATGGCAGAACATCCTGCGAAGCAAGCTGTTGGCAGTCCCAGCCATCCGTAAACTCTGGCAAAACAAAAACAAGAAACTCAGTCTTGTTGGCAACTTTGTTTTTTTGTTCTGTGGGTTGGAAGTTGGAGGCTCACCAAAAGAACTAGGCAAAGGTATGCCGTGTGTTATTCTGAGGTACATCCGCACAGCTTTGAAGTACCGAGCTGCCTTCAAGTTTCGTGCCCGAAACGATGTCTTCTACAAGAAGCATTGGTCCAAGAGCAAGGCACGACTCCGCGTTTCTGGTGGAAAGAAACTTAAGGATTCGGGAATCTACACCACCAAGTTTTGTCAAGCCGTGGCTGATGTTTGGATGGCCGCAAGTGCCAGTGGGATGCAGTGTCTTGCGCGGCCGCCTTTGTTCTCGGACTACAAAACCCTCTGGCAAGAATCCTTTCGTGGCAGCACTGTTGAAGAGGATCCACGCATTCTCTGAACATTCTTTTTTGTTACTTTGGCTACTTGTTCCAACCAAGCTGGGAATCATGCCTGAAGAAGGTTTTCCCCACACGCATCGTCCATCTAAGGAACCCAAGCTGAGTCAATCGATCGCCAAGACTTTGGACGTAGTCACTGACACACTCGCAATCCTCTAAGAAGGGTGGAATAGCGAATCCGCTTGAGGAAAACAAAGTTGGCTCAGCTGGGCACAGTTGAAACGCTCAAACTTAAGAGCCCTCGATTTTTAAATAAGAACTTGGAATCTTTTAAGTGAATCGTCCATGCTTTCGCGCGCGTGTGTGTGTGTGTGTGTATGTGCTACGGTATGTTAGGCCAACCCAGCACTTCTTTCCTTTGAATCAAGTCAAGTGCTAAGTCTTCACCTAAAGTGCTAGCTTCACGTGGAAGCTCTTGCGAACATGTACCCTACTCTTTTTTCCCCTTGGGTGGTGGCGTGGGGTCGGTTAAGTGGCTCAAGCAACTGCTTAAGTTGCCCAAAAGCATGGTATGTGTGCGATTTCTTGCTGTCTTACAATGATAGCAGTGCCTCTTGGGCAGGTCAAAACCTGAGCAGCGATCCAAAAAATGGATCTCAGCGATCCATATTTTAGCTTAACAACAGCGATCCAGGAATTGGATCTGATTGAGGGTCTGGGAAGTCCAGCGACAAAACGAATCGGTGAGGCAATCTTCAAGTCTCGAACAGGCACAACCACAGTCTCATCCTGTGAACCGTCGAAGGCAACGAAGTGACCTAACGAAGATAACTTTGGGGTCAAGTAAATCCCTGGAACAAAGTGACGAGCGTTTGCTTCTCTGACCTTTTCCAAGTACCCATCAGTCGGCCTGGCAAAAACCAAACATCCAAATGGCATCACTCGGTTGGTGTTTGGGACTTCTCCTGAACTAGTTACACTGATGCGCATGCGTTGATATGGTGTCAGTGAACTGTTGGCTTGCAGCTGAAATGCATTGTGTACATGGCAAGCGTTTGCTGCGGCGTATCGAAGGCTTTCACTACCTAGCATCAACCCGTGCTGGTACAACACTGTACGAATACACCCTAGTTGAGTCTTGAGGGTCCTCACTGCCCTTTCGGCTCCAGTTGCGTGTCTTCCTGGGCGACTGGTCTCATGCCTTGAGACTACCTTCAATCGAATGAGTTCAGAAATGAGCGCAGTCAAGTCACGGCCTTCATCACTGAGAACCATCGCACCTGTGGACGAACAGTGGTTGATGGCAGCTGTCAAAACGCGAATCGTCGAAGCTTGGTCTACATAAATTGCAGCTGTTGCTATCATACCATGCGTCCGATTCCAAATCACAACATACCTATACATATTTGGAGACTTTGGGTGGGTGCATAGATTGGCAATGTCCATCTGGACTTCGTTGGTGACTTGATCTGTACGTTTTGGCGCTCGTTTCAATCCCTTGCTCATGAGACAGACTGCACAGCTTGGATCATAAGGGGTGTGACTCTGCAAAATGTGCTTAGCTAGTCTGTTACCTCGTAGCTCGATGGGATACTCGAACTCGAACTCAGGCTCTGACTCAACGGTGCAAACGACTTCCTTTTTGCGCACGACGTCGAATGCTGGATTCGAAAAATGCGCTCTGGCTCTTATCGGCGGCTCGACTCCCCTTTTGGGAGGAACCTGGACGCTTTGGATATCGTGTCTTCCTTCGCGTCCGACGCTTCGGACATCGCGTCCTACTTCGCGTCTTCCCTCTTGTCCGAAAACTTGGACAGATGCTCCTGCAGTTGCTTGCGGTACGCAATCTCTCCCTCGGACAATGGTGCTTGAAGCGCTTCTGGCGGCGTAGAGGGACTCTCCCCCACCATCGCCGTCGGTTCCGACATTTCCGTCGGCGCCGGCGTCAGAACTACTCCTCCCACTGGCGGTGGCATGGCGGGTTGCTCGAGAGAGATTCGCCTCGCCTTTCTCAAATTCTCTCGATCTTCCTCTTCTGCCCTCCATTGCAGGAGATCTTGTTTTCCTTTCTCGAACTCTTCCTGCCGACGACGCTGGATCTCCTTTCCGTGTTCCAAGGCCTGGGCCATTCTCTCTGAACGATACAGCGCCTTCGCCTTTCGGCGTTCTTCCTCTTCCTTCTCTCGGCGGGCAAGTTCCTTCTCCCATTCGATCGCTTCCGCTTCTCGCTCGGATGATAGCTCTGTGCGAAACAAATGTTCTCGCTGCTCGTCGGTCAGGTGCTCCAGATACTTCGGTACTTTCTTCGCGCCCGATCCCGACGCCGAGGACTCCTTCTCTCTCTTGAGGGTCGCGGTACCCCTCTCTGCTTTCCTGAGCATATCTTGGGCTTCCTGAGCCAAATTCTCTTCCGCCACCGCTTTCTGCTCTTCGGTAAGCGGTCGACTCTTCGCCTTGGGTTTGGTCGGCGGCGTCTTCGGACCAGGAACCGACGGTGACTTCGGCTCCGGAATCTCCTCCGGATCGGCAGTTGCCGGTGGAGCTGGCGGCTGAACAGGTGGCTTCTTTGGCGGCGCAACCGGTGGTTGCTTTGGTGGTGCAACAGGTGGTTGCTTTGGCGGCGCGACAGGTGGCTGCTTGGCCGGCGGTTGCGATCCGGGTGGCGGCACTGGCGGCGGCTGAGGGCCGATAGGCCGAGTCTTGGCTTTGATCGGTAAGATCGAAGGCGTCTTCCGCTGCTTGACCGATTCGTCCAATCTCTTCAGGTTTTCCTCCGTCAGCTCGAGGACTGGGGGATCGGCTGTCTCCGACATCCATTCGGAAGTACTGGCATCGGTCACGCTCAGAGCTGCGTTGCCGGCTGGCCTCAACAGTGACCTGACCTGGGACGTGAACTTCACTTTCTCCTTCTCTTGACGCCTTCGCTTCATGAAGTAAGCAGTCCCTGGCTTGACCTCCTGAGCTCGCTTCGTCAGGTCTCCGCTCTCTGAAGCGGAAATGCGGAGAACAACTTCGCTTGTTATTCTCTCTTCGCCCACCAACCCTGAAGAGCCTCCTTTGCTCTTTGGTCCCGCTGACGGGGCTGGTGGCTCCTCGGACCTGGAGCCAGCTACCTCTGGCGACATTTCTCTCAAGTCCGCAAGGTCTGACTCCGCGATCTCCGACGCTGTCAGGCTGACAAGTGAGATCCCTCGCATTCCTGAAGGCTGGACCTCCACAAATCCCTTGGTCACCTTCTCTGGTTCTTGGGATCCTGACGCTCGCGGCCGACGCTTCGGCGCGACCCATGCCCTGTGGCGGTTCTGCACCATGTACTCTCCCTTTGCGGTAACCCGGGAGGCTTGGACTTCGCGTTCGACCAATCGCAACTTCACAGTCCGCTCCTTCTGAGGGGCTTTGGTGTGTTGCTTCAGCACTCTCCTGATCGATCCTCTCGGCTCCGGGTCTTCTCTTGACACAGTCCACGACCGCCGTATAGGGATGGTCCCTTTCGAGCTGCTTGTTGTAGGCCTGCGGCCCGATCCGACCGACGCTGCTGTCTCAGCGCTCGCTGCCTGGCTCGATTTTTGATTCGCTTCTCCTCGTCTTTCTGATCTTGTCGATGAAGCCAATTGCTCCAAGCTTTCATTCGAAATGTCACCTCCTGATCGGAGGTCGCCTCGAAAGGCTTCTCTGGGATCTCGGGCTCCGGCAGATCCTTTGAAACTTCGGATTCGCGTTTCTCCGTCTCCAATCCCTTTTCCTTTTCTACTTGTTCCGGTGGCTTCACGGTAATTCTGTACTCTTCTCGGGTTCCTGTTCTGGAAGTTTCACGATCACTTCGGTACTCTCCTCGGGTTCCATCGTGACAAGGACAACTCTCTGTGTCTCTTCCTTTGGTGTGGTATCTTCCTTCGGTTCCGATGGATCCTTTTCCGCTTCCTGTTGCCCGACTTGAGCGATCACGGTGCCTGGCGCTGGTTCCGTCGGTTCCTCCATGACCGTGTCCGGACTCTGTTCTTTCTTCTTCTCTCCGCTCAACTCCGTGGTATCGACCCAAGCATCCGAAGGCATGCTCCACTCGACGAAACCTGGGCTGGACGGGGTCCGCACAGTCAAGGCGCTCGTGCACCGAACTTGAACCGTTACGCTCTGCAACACGCAAGACCGAATCTTGAACTGCTTCATGCATGGTCGAATAACGAACAACACGGTGCGAACTGGAGTCAACATCGGACGTGTACTGCAACGAACGGAGTGACGATGACATGTCAATGTCAATTGCTCCTGGGTGGACAATTGAGATCCAAGGAACATTGCACCAAAGAAAAATGTCAAGATGAGTTCTACTACTCCTAGTTCTGTTTGGAACCTGGTCGTGACCTCCGACTGTTTATCTACCTCTCTGGAGGTTCGGGAACCGCTCTTGCCAGGTGAACATGAAAACGTCCAACCTTTATTGGCAAGAAGTGCAACACTCAACAAGCTAACTTGTCCGCATCCTATCAGCGCTGTGACTCTGAGCTTCTGTGGCCTCTGCAGTTGGCTGCCAGCGCAAATGCTGCGCGACACTGGTGACAGGCTTGAGCTAGCAGGTGCTGCGGGCGACGGCGCGGCGGCTCTCGACGAAGCAGCGGCAGACGAAGCAGCATCAGGCGACGACGCGGCGGCTCCATCGCATTCTAAAAAGCTAACGCGCCTACTTTTGAGAGCATACGTGCTGAACTCTGCTTCGACGCATCGATCTAGAATCATTTCCTGTCCGCTGGCTGTGGTGCACCGTTCGTTGACGGTCCACTCCTGGCAAATCCGTAGGTATCCCTCATCCACTAAACTTTGACTGATCAAGTGGATGCTTGCTCCACTGTCCACCAAGAAATGTGGATCAGTGGCGTCGGTGTCCGCGACACTGGACGTTGTCAGTCGGTTGCCATAGCTGTGAAGCTGGTTCAGTAGGACGTCAGGTGGTACGGTCATGTCTAACACACAACCCATTCCGAGAATGTCTTCTTCGTCCTCTTCTCCTACACTCCTACACTGGCACGTGCTCCTTTCGGTTTCCCGCCTTTCGGTCCTTTTC